GATCGAACAAGTAATTGACTTGGAAAATTCGCAATAGTTGCATCTGTAATAACAGTAATCGAGTTTCGTGTAAAAACTTTCATATAGTCATCACGCATGCACAACAAAACATAATTACACACGACGTATCGGCGCATACTCTCGAAAGGAGATAAATAAAAATTGAAACCTTGTCATTTGTAAATCAATATAATTACGTAAATTGTTATCCGCGTCGAAAATTTCAGCGTTATTTACATAATGCGTTGCGAAATTACATGGCTGTAGAGCTTCACAACTTAATTTTTTTCGTATATAAGTTTTTGCTTCGAATTTTCGAAACGGAACGCACCTGCATATGCAGAGCAATTAGTTCTTCCTTTTATTCTCGAATTAAATTCATCTTACGCAAGTTACTTACTCGTTAATGAATCCATAAAAAATCGATTTTATATTAGCGATTTTCGATAGTACAATTTCCCATTGAGCGTCGGCATTGAATGGGTACTTACAGTGTGACCAACCGCGACTCCTTATTTATTACATATTTTCCTCATTTTAATCGTTGCGACATATTTGGAATATACATCGAGATGCTTTGTAATAATTCACGATGTCCCATTGAACTTGTGAAGGTTTCAACGTGAATAGCTCTAGCGAATTTATTGTATTTAACAGCGAGTTTTTATCTTCTGTGCTCCATTTATTTATAGGTAACGAATAAATCGGATTCAGTTTCCCGTTGGGCCGTGTAAAAATTATCTTCTAAGTAAATGATTAAGTATTTGTCGTTAAGTGCTTCGTTTTATTTTTTTTTAATAACCCATTCGATATCGGCGTTTAATCCCGGCGATAAAAGCCGCATGAATATGCAAGAGCAAAAACGAAAGCACGATGCCCGGGAGACTTCGAATTAAATCACATAAAATGCCCACAAGTCGATAGAAATGGAGCGTAATAATCCAGTCTGCCTACTTAGTAATAAATAAATAAGTATAATAAATAAAAAAAGCGTATAACATAACGAGAAGAAAGAAGAACGAAGAGGCAGTTAGATCGCCAACAAATATTTTAGTGGTTATATAAAAAGTTTAATGCCAATCCCCGATAGGAAGAGCGGACTGTTAAATGATTCCTTATCTTTTCTTAATGTGTGCTAAGCAAAAAGCGGTTATTTTAGCATACTCCTTTACGAGTACTATGCATTTAATATCAGCATATAATTCCTCAATCACTGCAAGTACATATACAAACATAATTTTGTAATTAAAACAAACTTTTACTCTTACATTGAAATACTTTAACAACACTGCATTTATGTAAAAAAAAACTGGTATACCAATTATTACGTTGATAATAATTGTTGTAAATCAACCGCAAGTTTAATTAGTTTTAAGTAATGTCGCGTTTTAATATTTACAACAAATTTTTATAGTGGCAATAAATTAGAAAGCTCGACTGTGTTATTAAATTAAATCGACGCCTGCCGGTCTCCCCGCAATCGATGATTTATTTCAATCGAAAAAGTGATAGCGGAATTAATTGCTCGAATAATCGATTGTTGTGAAATTAATGTTAGTATTTTCGCTTTGAATAGAGACCTTGCTGGAAACCAGATTTCGCGCGAATCCGGAATAATTCGAACGATTCCTTCGCGGCATTCCTTCTTTTATACGCGCATCCGAGAAATATGCATCGCTACTGTTTGATATGACTCCGTGATTAATTATATAACGAGTAATATTAACTACCGAGAGCTTTTTACTGTGCCCGTTGCAAGGTTAAATATTCCACAGATTATTTTTTTTCCGAGATAATCGTTTACAATGGTACACGGTTTTTTTTTTATTAAAAATTGTCTGGTCGTGGGAAAAGTAACGCCGAAGGAGTTTTAAAAGGATTCAAATTGAAGCCAGTACGTAGTTTTAATAAAAATTGATTTTATCGCATAATTCGACGACAAATAAGGTCAGTTCTCTCGCTTAATCCCGCTTTATAAATCGACGTGTTCCAGTTTTACAATATCTGCGCGAGATAATTTAATATTCAAACACATCGGTTGATAAAAACGAGCCCGAATTTTCTGAAACCGGTTTCCACTATATTGGGTCATTGTTACTTCCACGTTATGCAATCGCTTATTAATTTTCGATCGGACGGAATTATAAAATTCGAAACGTGCACCGGGACCCATTAATTCCCTCGTTTCGTTAGGAATAAAGACGAATCAGATTACAACGGAATATTCGATACGTACAACTTGTCATTGTGCCCTCACGCCGTCCGCTCCGGCTTGTATCTGCTCGAATCTATTGTGCGCTGACATGAAAATTCGAACGGCGGCAATTTATCCGCGATAAGTCCCTCTCTGCCGGAGGTAAATGGCCGAATCGTGACCATTAGTCGGGGCCCCGGGGGACCCCCGGCGTACCCCTGGACCGCGGTTTCGCGAGAACCTCGCGTCGAAAGGGAGAAAACTCGCCCCCGCTCCTTCGCTAATTGATTTCCTTTCCTCTGCGTCGGGCTGTTTCGGAATATCGAACAGCGGCGGATCCATTTTTTAACGTTTAAATACTCTATTTGAACACTAAGTACTTTATATGGTTTCAATAAAATTACATAATGGATACTTAAGAATTAGGAGTAGAAGAATAAGAGTGGAAACTTTAGAAATTAGAAGTGGAAATGCAAGAGTAGAAACCTAAAAGTGGTAACTTAAGAGTGGATCTTAAGAAACTTTAAGAATAGAAACTTAGAGGTGGAAATGTAAGAGTAGAAGCTTACGAGTGGTCATTTAAGAATGCCTATTTAATAGTGCAACATAAGAAAATGTAAGAGAAGAATTTTAAGAGTGGAAATTTGAGAGTAGAAACTTAAGAGTGGCAACTCAACATAAGAAAATTTACGAGCAGAAAATTAGAAGTGGAAATGCAAGAGTAGAAACCTAAAATTGGTAACTTAAGAGTGGATCATAAGAAACTTTAAGAATAGAAACTTAAGAAGAGTAGAAGCTTAAGAGTGGTCATTTAAGAATGCCTATTTAATAGTGCAACATAAGAAAATGTAAGAGAAGAATCTTAAGAGTGGACATTTGAGAGTAGAAACTTAAGAGTGGAAATTTAAGAGTAAATTCTTAAGATTGTGGTGACTTCTTCAGTTCTCGTTATGTGGGTGCGCCTCTGTGAAACTGCGGTAACCACGCTGGTGTTTGTGTACTCGACTAGATATATCGCCCTTAAATAGATTCCTATCGTTGAAATTCATTTGGGTTTAGCGTGTTTTATGAGGTAAAATACCGATCTTTGGGTACACGAAGTTTACAGCGTGCCATGGCACAGCTTCAATTAGCTGACTTTATCGATGGAAAAATAACTCGACGATTTTGTTTAAATCTAATGCTAGTTGTTTCGTTGTATGTTAAAATCGCAGTAGCTGTATTATCTGATGTATTACTGCTATATGTGTAGTAAAATTCTGTTCATTCTTATGCGGCGTATAATGTCGCATTGTGCCATTAACAGCACCTCTCCAAGATCTTTTAAATGCTTTCATTAAAATAGAATCGAAGGCAATTATGCCGTCGCAGCGTACGGTTAGTGGAAACCAACTGTAACCTTGTTGAAGGCCTTTACAATATAAAACAAATTACTATAAAAACAGATTGAGCATTGAGTGATTTGATGGTTATTACCTATGGCGTATAGACCAGATGTTACGAATTTTATAAGAATAATAAGGAATAAAAATGGTGAAGCTGCTCAATCTATGAGGATAACGGTTTCGATTGCTACTGGTTTATTCGTGAGACAACTGTATATACCTTAGTTTAGTATGTTGATTGTAAAATAATATTGTAAATATTTTGATAAATTCCAGCATAACCTTCACCTTTTTTTTCGCATCGGGCCCACACGTGTAGGCTCTTCTGACCTATTTATCAAAGTCTGTAAAAATGCAAGGAATGTTATCGGCTATGTATAATATAATACATTTCAAAAATTTGATTTACGATTACTTCTCACTTTCACATTACAACCAAATATGTTTATCAGTCGAGAAGTTAAATATAAATCGAGCGCATTGTGCGCATTAAAATATGCGCTTTGAAGTCGAATCCACTTTCAATAAACCGCATTTTAATACATTTCCTCTTACAAATAATTTCCCGTCTTATAATATACATATGTTACAGTATAATTACTTTGAAATTACTACTACATGCACTACTTAAACCCAATTCTCTTAGGCATCTCATTTCCCATGGTTCAAACACAAAAAACCCCGTAATTAATAAAATTTATTGTATACATATTAAACGCCGCTGTAACGTTGTAACGTTAAGAAGAGAAAAATACCCATAAGCTAGTTGCATGGAAGATATTAATATTCCTATATGCAGGTGCTGCATTCGCGGCATTCGCGAATCGAGAAATAAATCGAGATGCACGCTCGTTGACAGGATTTACCAATAGTTGAAAAGCTGCTTTAATTTTCCCTTTTCATTGCGGCAAAGGATAATATGCTCCGTGCATTTAACGGCTATGCATTATTTATTAATACATTTCGAACGAGTACGAGGTTGATACGCTCTTGTTTGTTGCGAAAATTCGAGTTATGGATTGTTATTTTATATGTGTATTAGAAAGAAAATTATAATATTAATTATTATTAATGTATAATTAGAAGAAAAACTCGTTTTCGCACTTGCGTCGCAATAGTTTAGAATAGAGGAAATTATGTTTCCACAGTAATTAATCTTCAGAATAATTTTTAATAATATTTTTTTAATAAATCGCGGTCGCGTTAATAAGTACCTAGGTCGTTTATGCGTGAAATCACTTTTAATGATAGAGTATTTATGCAAATATTTTTTTTCAGTCGCTAATTAAAGCAATACTCTCTAACCCTATATATTAATTTTTCACAACTGATCATTATATCATTATGTCACCTTCACATTACTACGAGCTTATTTTACCACAAATTATATTCCAAACGCATCAATCAATCATTCCACTTACCTATAGTAGTCCTTTTTACAATAAATATTACCATCCCTGGAGAAACAGGAATTGTCACCTTCTAAAGTCCTTCTACACTGGTAACACTGCAAACAAGACGTGTGCCATCTTCTCTCCACCGCTTGCAGGTAATACCTGTCGGTTATTTTCATGCAACAACCAGCACAGACAGCACCTGCAAAAATTAAACACTTCTCATATCATATACACTTCATTACACGCCAAGAAAATGCTCCGATGCACGTAGGAAACCGAGCAAAAGGTTTTATAAAGGAATGGTAAAAGAGTGATGTACAAAATGTTCGTAAAACGGTTGGGTAATAGGTTGAGCAAAAGGTTGAGTAAAGAGTTGGGTAAAAGGTTGAGTAAAAAGTTGGGTAGAAGGGCTGAGTAAAAGGTTGGGTAAACGGTTGGGTAAAAGGTTGGGTAAAAGGTTGGGTAAAAGGTTGGGAAATTCTTAAACGTACTGAAAAATATTGATGTGTATAACTGCAGGACCTGGTGAAGAAATGGACGTACCGTTTTCCTCGGAGCAGCTGGCGGCGGGCGAGGAGGGCGGCGTGGACGATTGCAGCGGTTCGATCTTTGGTATGTGCTGCTCGAAGGAGGAGTGGGGCCGGCAGATGTCGGGCGGCGTGATGGATCGCTGCGGGGGCTGGTGGGCCAGGGTGACGTGGGGCGGTCGGCAGACCTCCGAGCCGCAGGACTGGTGGTTGTTGTTGGACGGTGTGCTGCAGGAGCTGCCGCTGGAGACGCTGCGATCGGGATCGCCCATGGACGAGTCGCACGACGGGAGGTTGGGCGAGAGATCGCGGGACGGGTCGTACGCCGGGCCAATGTAGTGTTCGTGCTGCTGCTGGAATACGATTTACCGGGATCAATAAAGCACCTGGTGCATGTGCTTATGGATGTGTGGAGAAGGTGGCGAGGTTTGGAATTGCGCTAAAATGATTCCGAAATGGAATGTTAGTCTATAATTGTAGCGAGCAATTTTCCTTTTTATATAATAAGACAGCGAACGTATTTATTCGACGGCCTGTTGCGAGCGAAACTACTCCTTTTGAGCGAGTCTCCTTTAATTATGTGAGACTCGTAAACGGACTTTTAATCGATTTTATACCGAACCACTTCATATAGAAAAGGGAAAAATAAAAAGACGGCACGCCAAAGTCTGAGAATTATTCTTAACTACCGTTCAAATAAATTTCACGATCCGCTTAAAACGGGATGAATATAAACGCAAATAAAGAAATAAACCAGTACAAACGGAAAAAATATAACGACTCGTTCGAAAGAGGCTTCGCATGTAATAAAGCTGTAGAAAAGCGAAAATTCAACAACGTTTCAGGCAGTTGTGCATGTGTACGCCTAATAGTAATGGCTTCACCATTGCAATAGATTCTGGTTTCATTGCATATTCATAGACCTACACTAGTCTCACATGACTCGTAATTAGAATTATTTGCGCTTGAATAATAAATTGATTATCTACTTTAACACGCAGATCCGCACGTTTCTATGCAAAAAAAATAGAGGCGATTTATTTTGGGTTCCATGCGACTATTAAACAATCTCCTGGTTGACAAATTAACCACTCGAGAAGTTGGTAGAAGAGCTTATATACTACCAAAAAAAGATTTACTCGTTCGATATATGTAGAAGCGAAGAAAAACCGACCAAACCTGTGGGCCTTCGAACCGGTCAAGTGTCCTCTTTCGTCGATACGAAAAGAGGACGTTTCGAAAAACCGTTCGTTCTCTCTCCGGGTCTCGCCTTTCATTCGAATATGGTCACCGCCAGAATTTCTCGACCGTTCGTATATATTCCTTCAGTTGCGTTTGTTTGTTTGCTTTTTTTTTATGTAGTTAAATACTTGACTAAATCGTCTTCGGATATGCGTAAGTGGGCAGAAGTGGCGTCCGATCTACATGCATAAATTACGCCTTATGAATTCACGAAAAAAAATTAGTCTACTATATAACGGCGTTTTAATTAATCGTGGACTTAATCCGAACGCAGGAGTGTAAGGAAAAATATAATATTTCGTTTGTATATATAGAGAAAATCGGCAGGTCACGACCCCCTTTCCGCATCCCTCCGCGTCCTTTCTTCTCGCTCATCGGGCGACGGATGGCCTCCGGTGACCAGCCGAAGATGCTCTTCTGACAGCTATCACTCTCACGACCCGGCCAGACTGCACGACTTGGCCCGTTGGCCCATCACACAGCTCTCATTATGTTATGAAAGCGGCGTGTTACCGGCGTTTCGTGTTTGTTTAAGGCTAAAGCAATAATTACCGGTTCACTATCGAACCATCCGATGGGTTCTTAGTCCGTGGGCACGAGGGAATTTGCTCAATAACATTTCGCCAGTCACATTTTTATAGTTTTTTTAACAACGATCGATGAGAATAGTAGAATAGTAGAGAATAGTAAGTACAATAGTAGAATAGATTTTACAAGTAAATATTTGGAATATGTCTTCTTAGAAATAGTCTTACTTATAGTAAGAGTTCTATAAAAACGTTCTAAATAGTTCTAAAAGGATTCTCAATGGTTCTATGGACTTTTTTAGATGATCCTGAATATATAGTGTTGACTCTGTTTTAAATGATTTTGGACAATTCTAAAGGTTTAGTACTAAATTATTTTAAATAAACCTAGTCAGTTCAAAAATGGTTCATAGCATGTTCAATTTCAATTATAATACCATCCCTCTTCCCCTTGAATGATATTACAATAGTAAGATACACTTTCCTTCTAGCACTTGTATATTCTTCCGGCCCGTTAGAATACATGAGCTCACAATCTATATATCTATATAAAATTTAAAAGTGTATATGGGTATATTGTAGCACGAGGTAGTTTTTATCAAAAGTGCTACAACTACAACTCCAGTGTTCGCCGTGTAATTTAATATTTTGCAGTTTATTGATTCTTTTCGTCTATAATTATTGACAGTATCAGTATCGGGTTCACCATTTACGGACTTTTAAGCGTTCGCGGAATGCACATTAAAGCACTCATCGCGAAAATATCCAACCGCCAATAAACTCGCCTCGTGGACGAGAGCTTAATAGAGAAACCGATCGGAATTGCCGATTGAAAATTGTGCAAATAAAGATTATTTCGAAAGTTTGCGGTAATAATTTTCGAACATTAATTATTTTCCGGAAAAATCGCGCGAGATTAGAGGGACTGCAGGTGAGGAAAGTTCGTTATACGAACAGGAAGCTTCGAGCTAACCGAGATGCCACTGATGCCACTATAATCCAACATAACAGCTTGTAAGTATTTTTTTTTCTTTTATATCTACAATATTCAGCAAAAAATAATTACTTTTAAGTATATGAAATATTTAAGTGAAAGTATAAACTAATCAATTCCATAATCCCTGCCTTATCGAGACAACTAATGTATGCAGCGTGTTTGATGTTATGGATCTACATATTTAAAATGTAAATTTTAGATTGGAAACACTCTACATGTGTACACTAGTTTTTCGATTACAATCTTAAGTCTCCATGCGAGCAAATATATCAAATTGTTATTAATAGAAACCGAACCGTTAAATATCGAGTACTATTTTATTTTACATACACACGGGTATATCTAAATGTACGTAATCACAATTATTAATTATGAAATAAATCACGGTGCAGCAGGTGTAAGAATGCGGGTTTTTAAACGTCCTACGTAGTTCGGTTAGTAAGAAAACGTTCTACCTGACAAGTATTAATTTGTGTATAATGTGTATTTACCGTGTTAATCTCGATTAAACACGTGATATATTACTGGTAACATAAATTCATGAAAATGAATCAATTGTGGAGACGATAATCATACATTTATCATCACATTTCTTTGAAGTACATTCAATTTTACGCGGAGAAACAATCCCTAAAAAACTCAAAATATCTCGAAAATAAGGCGATTTTAGAAAAATTTCGATTCTTCGAAAATTGTAGAGAAATGTTTTTTGTACATTATAGACTAGATAGGGTGTTTTTAAATAACTCATTTCTCTCTCCTGCTATCATCAAAACCCCTTGCATAAATAAAAAAAAATGGAATAATATATTCTGCAATTACAGGCGCAATACCAGCTAAAATAAACAAGATACCGACGTGTACTTAGCGAATTTTTCCGTCTTGTTCGAGCACCGGCCATAAATAAAGCGAAGATTTTTCCTTTCCGCAGAGAGTGGCTAAGTATATAAATTCCCGCGGACCTATTACCACCGGTTGATTTACGGCCGAGGGACGCGATGATTTACATTTTCTAATCTCAGGAAAGTGAGTTGCAGGTACATAATTCATTGAACGGCCATCCGGTAGCCGCCGCGAAAGCGACCTAAACGCACGTATACAGGCATCGTATGCATAAGATCGGGATTCTTGCGTGCGAATAACCGGAGCACACCGACGGCGTTAAACGGGTTTCGAGGAAGGAATATTTCAACTCCGGGGGTTGACGAAGCGCCCGCTTCCTTTCCGTTCTCGCGCTCGTTGGCTTTATTCTTTCGCCACGACACGCTTTCAATTAGAATTTCTGTTCAATTCCAACAGCCTTGATGCAGTTGCCTATTTTTGTTGTAATAACCTTGGAAGGTCGCCCGAACTAGTCTTGAGAAATGCTTATGTAAATGAAGGAGCGAACGCGCCTCACTCTTGCTTTGTGTACATAAAAATTTCTATTATGTTACACCTACATTTCGTTATTATCGGCGATTTGATTGAGTCAATCTTTTCTAAAAGCGCTTGATATTTTGCACTAACCTCCTATACGGAGTTATATCTAACTTAATATCGCAGTAAGCCGACCCTGTATGTGAATATAAGCTTCAGTTACCGGTGGATATTCAAAATAAGCGAATCGTTTCACGGATTTACACACTTCCAGCCGGTATTTTATGAACAGGCCTAGGATCAGGTGAATTAAAAGTTACGCTTCGAGTAATTCCGTAGACCGATCATCGTTAGATAATCATCGCAGATAAGATATCGCATTTATTACCGGCCTAGCTTCAATTTCGAAATTATAGACTAATTTCTTTATTAGTTAGTCTAATTGTAATTCTACTGGGCGCGCATATTTAATTTTTTTTATCAGCGCTTAATAAATATGCAAGTGCGACATTATTGACTTTTCGAACGACCTTTATGTGTATTAAAATTGGAATTTCTTTTCTCGAAAAAATGAATGAGGAGGCGACGAGAGTGCGGCGGTTTTAATCGGTTTACCTGTTAATCTGCGGGGTCAACAGCATCTCTCCTATACGACATACAATCTTCTTAAATCGTGACTTTTTTTAATTCGATCTATATATACCCCGTAGTTTCAACTGAAATTGTATACCTCATTACGTTATGGAGGTATAATTACATCGCCATTTTTTTGTTCGAGTTAATAGCATTCCCGAAATTGTTGGTAATTGCCTACAATATTGATAGATAATAAAAAAACGCATATACCTACAGTTGGTGCAAAAGGAATGTAAGTGGAAAACGTTTTGCACTACAGAACGAGGCGCATCTAATCGAGATTCCGCGCGAATCTCAAAATGTGTTTAAAAAAACCGTTTTTTTTTATTATTGTTTAGATTTAAACCGAATTTTTTTCGTTTGTACCAACGGCTAGAGGACATGTTCGTATTGATAAACCCGTTGATCTGAGATAATAGGCCGCTCGGCGAGTACATGGGGCTTCTCGAGGCATGAACTATTATCTCAGACGGACTTCAATGTGACTCTTGACCGGCCGGACAAACAACTCGACGTGTCTCTTCTCCTCTCCGTCCGAAACGTACATGTAAACAGTTCCGCAAAAGCGGAATTTCTGTTTTCTAAAAATAAA